TTAAAATTGAAACTGATCCAATGCCGTAAGCTGAAACCGGAACTGAAGGTCAAACAAGGATTAGCCCCAGTGTCATAACATGCATCGTGTTTTTGTCGAGCTTTGATCTTCAAGGCCCAAGTCTCACTTTGTATGTATTAGATACTTTCATCCACTGCGTAATTCTGAAAGCCTCACAGAACGGATCTATGGAGAAAACAAAGACTCGTCCAATTTCCCACACGATGGTGTTTTCATCGATATTTCTGTTTGTTATTTGCTTCGCGGGATTGATTCACGTCGAGATGGAACTTCACGTTCATCGACAAATGCTTCAAGTCTTGAATCAACAAAGAGAAGAAAAGCTCGAGCTACGAAACACAGCACACGAAGACAAAGAATCTGCGATGAAAATGTCACACAGTGAGTCTAACAAAGGTGAGTATTAAAATCATCGAGAAAACAGTTAGACGAGGAAATTTGATTGCACTAAAGAAGCTACAGCTAAAACGAAGAAAGCTGAAATATGATTTCTACCGAATCGACATTCTAATGTCTTTTAAGAACGCATGCACGATAATAAAATTCACAGTTTACGACTGGGTAAGAAATAACTTAATAAATATAAACCTATGAACCATGGCTTTCCGTTCCTCGTAACACCGAAAAGAGGAAATATACGTCCAGAAGAAGATAAACTATTCAGTATCAAGAAATCAAGCTTATAACTTTCTAGACTGAATATTACGAAAACTTCTGTGTTGTCTGAAGGCCTATATTGGATGGCTTCGTTATGCACATTGAGCTTTAGTGTTTCTTAAAGTATATCCAAATGATCTTGTTTGACGCAGCTCAAATCAGACGATATCAATTTGCTGCATGAGGTCGCATCCCAATTATATTTACCCCTATGGTTACTGAATTCTACGAAGTTTTCAGTGTGCAACAAACTCATGCATGCAATCCTTTACATTGTAGACTTTGGTAACGAGAAGCCAAAGTACGAGTTTAATCGACTAAGTAAAATCTTGTTCCTGCTGTGTTACTTGCAGAGCTGTACACTCGTTACAAACGCAATATGGAAACTGAAAACAAGAAATCAAATGCAAGCGAAACTATTGATCTTGACTTCATCAGAAGAGAATTGAGACTCGCTCTGAGTAGCCAGGCCTGCACGGTTCATTGCTCCAAAAGC